TTTATCTTTATTTGTAGGCCATGAAATTAATTTTTATAAGTTATTTATCAACTTTTATTTGTTTATTTATGGGAAGAAATTTTAAATTATCTATAAGTTATGAAATTAATTTTTTAAAATTAATTGTTTATTTTTTATCTTTATCTGTAGATTATAAAATTAATTTTCAATTTTTATATGTTTATCTATATGGACGAATTTTGAAATTCAAATCTTTATCCATAAATAATGAAATTAATTTTAATTTTAATTAATCAAACAAATAAAAAATGAAGAAAAATAGAAAACATGAAAGGCAATCAAAGAAGGTTGCCATGTAGGAAAGAGAGTGTTTTAAAATTATGAGAATTTAGGAATAAATATTTGGAGGTTTTTGACAAAATAATTACATTTGATTATATATATATATATATATATTATAGATTCATTGAATATGCTTTGTTTAGTGGTTGAACTTTGAAATGGTGCCTTTAACGATGGTTCCCAAAACCCCATTTATCCCAAGTGTGAGCTTAACATAAGTATAAGATCTTTGATGAATTGGAGCTGTTCTGCATGTTGTACTCTACTTGGCATCTGAAACGAGTTACATTTAGTTCTGGGCCCATTTGGTTATCAGTTTTAAATAGTTTTTATTATTATAATTTTTTAAATTATTATTAATTTAAAAAATTTATAAGAAGTTCTAAGTATGTTTGATGGAGCATCTAAAAATCTATAATAATAATAATTCTTTGTAATTTTTTTATTTTTTTTAAAGTTAAACGTGTTTGGTTAAATAAGCTATTATTAAATAGCTCTTTCATTGCCCAAATATTCAAAACCATCTAAAGATGGCTTACCAACTCAAAATAGGTGAACACAGCCCCAAAAATGGCTTATAGTTATAACCCTTCCACAAACAATTGGAGGCTGAGAAAGCCGAAAAAAGGGTGTTTTATATACTCCTTGGATGAGCAGTTTCACCCGGCTGAGACTGCGTGGTGACAATCAAAGTGTGGGCCTTCCATTGGCTTCCACCTAGAATCACCCAAATCATCCCCAATTTGTTAAGCTTTGAAAGCCCTACTACCATTATTTCCTAATCTCCAAAATTGTTAACTGTCAAGGCCGTCCCAGAGGAACAAAATTCTGAGGTAAAGGAAGACGATGATTTGCAACTAAAGCAATTCTTAATATAACCAAATGAAAAGAAAATAATCATCAAGGAAAGAAAAAGAAACAACAATATACATATGGCTAATAAATCTAATAAATCACCGAAAGAAAAAGAACAAGAAAAGGAAAAGGAAAAGAAACAACAATACAAAACCAATAAATCAATAGTGTCATGTCAATTCATGATCTTAAGAATGAAGATTTAAATAACCATTCCTAAAAAATTTGAAACAGGCCCTTCAACTTTTCCAGCACAATGAAACAGATAGACATGATACTCCAGTCTCCGATTTAAACAAGTATAAATGATCATAGAGGAACACCTTTTACGACTTGTAAAAGCAATGCTCCAACTACTTGCCATCATTTATTGTCTGAACACATATGTTCAGACAATAAATGTGAACAGGAATATAGTAGTTCTTAGAAAGATAATTCAAAAGCCCAATACCTAAGCTTCTACTAACCAGAATTCCATACCACACAATAAGAGCTCAACAAATTGCCAGCCTTGTGGGAAGAAAAGTTGTGCCTCCGCTGAAAATTTGACAAAAGATGTAGCAAATGTAGTATAATTTCAATAATGAACACCCATCAAATCAATTATAAAGCAAGACAAAAATACCATGTAATCATTTGTACTTGCTACCTGAAACATGTGCATATGCATGAAGAAGCAATGCCAGTAAGCAAAAAGGAAAAGAAAGAAAGCTGCAAATGTTATTCCGACAGCAAACAAACGTGCAAGACTGCAACTGAACCACCTAGTAAACACCCATCCATCAGCTAAAAAAAGAATATCATGCCCCACAAATGGGCAATGTTAAGTGCGTTAGATTTCAACAAGTCACAGTGAACAGAAAATATATATAAAAAAAAAAAATTAAAAAAGAAAGAAAGAAGCAATGAACATTATGACAGACAATATAACAAAAAAATGGGGAGGATATGCCCCTGAAATATAGCAGAGTGGAAGACATAAACACAAAGCTTACAATAGCCAATAGCCAATAGCACATGCATACTTTCCAATATGCAAATAGCCACAAAAAAACGGGAGGGATAAAAATTCCTGTAAAAGGGAACGTGAACTCTCAAATCAGCACAAGAATCATTTTCCTTCCAAGACACTTCAGGTCTCAAAAGAGGCAGCCTGTCTCACAACAAGACATTCAAAGACGGAACAGAACCATCCTCAAGGTGAAGGGAACAGCTAATGGGAACCACAAGCCGACAAATGAACAAGAAGCTGACTGAAAGAAAAACAAGACATCAGGATCTCAGCAATAAGAACCATGGCATCACGTGCAGAGAACTACAAGAAACTTCTCCCCTAGATGAGCACTGTGGAACAAAGAACCAAAACAAAACAATGGACAGCAGTTGCTGAACTCTTCAAGAGCTTCCAAACAACCCCCCACATGTTTAAGAAGAATGGAACTCTTCCATCACTGTGCCATGCAGAACAGAGGTGTGGCTTATGATGTAATACTTGCAGATAGCTTGTTGCTGCCCCCAAAACTCTCATTTTAAACATGTATAAACATATAATCATGTATCCAAACAGACCATAAATGACCAAACAGCCTGCCAAAAGTTTAACAATATTAATATTGAAATAACTGAAAATTTAAGAATTGGCACGGGGATTGTATAATGTTCGACAATAAGGAAGTAAAAAATTACCCGGTTAACGCCCATTTATTTGTTAAGAAACATTGTTTAGAAGAACAGGAAAGGGGGGATGTGACAAGGACCCCAAAATCTTTTGTATAATCACCAAACATACCAAGTCCTCAACATTGGGCCCCTAAACTTGTTTTAAAACCTTCCAGATATGAAACTGACAGTTCCAAGAAATTCATTATGCACCCCAGTCGAAAAGAAGCAGACACCCGATCATGGACCCCACAAAATATTTTGTATAATCACCAAGCATACAAAGTCCTCAACATTGGGCCCCTAGACCTGTGTAACACCAAAAAAAATCTTCCAGGTATGCAACTGCTAGTTCAAGAAATTCATTATGCACCCGGTGGCAACAATGACATTTGTAATTGCCCATATAAGAAAGTAGATATCCAGCAGCAATAATGACATTCAAAAGTGCAAAACCAGATTCGAACATGTGAAGCAAACATAAGATCCCATCAGTGCAAGATATCGAACATTTTATGAACACACAATAGTAGGTTATTGGTGCCAAGAACCAAACTTTCTAAAAATTGATCAACTACAATGTTCTGCTAGCCCAAATACTGACAAGAAGTGACATATCCTGTAAAAAAGAAACTCCAATGCTTCGCATCCAGTAGCAGCTGCACGCCCAAGTTCTTCAGCTGCAAGACAACATGAACAATGATCCATCAGTACCATAGCAACCCGAACCTGAAGCATTTGCAAAGCTCAATGAGTGTTGCATACCACAATTTTAAGCAGCCGTTTTATCCCCGGAAACCTCCTGAACCCCGGCGATCATATGGACCAGAGCGGTCACGACTATATCGATCGCCTCCCCCACGACCACCAGAATCCCTGTTCCGTCCCCCAAATCGATCTCCATTTCTATCAGGACCATAACGGCTTCCACCACCACCACCACCACCACCATACCTATCATCCCTGCCACCATATTTGCCCCCCCTGCCCCCTTCACCGGGGCATTCCCTAGCAAAATGTCCTGGCTTGCCACACTTAAAGCACTCTCCACCACCAGATCCGTGACCACCTCCATAGTCACGGTTGCGATCACGCTCACGACCACGGTCCCGGTCCCGGGGGCGATCACTATCATGATCTCTACCAGAACCTTGGTGAGGCTGAGCTTTCTCAACCGTAATAGTTCGCCCATCTAAATCCATTCCATTCATTTCTTCAATGGCATCTTCCATTGCTTTCTTTTCATCAAAGGCAACAAACCCAAATCCACGAGAACGTCCAGAGAACCTGTCAACAGCAACCTATGCCAAAGACACCAATATCCGCATAATAATCTCAACGATGACTTTCAAAGAATTTATTATATAGAAACAACTTGAACAATGACACCCCATTCCATTTAAACTATCTCACAGTCAATGGATAGAAATAAAAGATATGAATAAGAATGCCAATATCACAATTCCTAAAAAAAATAAATCATGAATACTGTCTAAGTTAGAATTCTGTTGCCAATAAAAAATGTACATTTTTAATAACATAATCAGTTGTTTTCATGCAAAACTTGAAAACTGTAAAACATCTAAAGCAAAAAAACATTTTACACAATCATGCATTCATATTTATTATAGGTATATATTTTATGCATCCTTGATATGCATGTGGATACCCATATGGGCCTAAATGTCAAATTGATCTAACTCCCAAATCCAAGCATACCAAACCAAACCAAACCTTAAGTCCTATCAAATGAGATCGGCTGCATGAATCCTCCCAAATCCAAGCGTAGGACAGAAAAATATTCATACTTACTAATAATTTTTTTTTTAATTGAGAATAAATATATTGAAGTTAACCCAATCTCTGACAGCTTAAGCTTTTAGATGAGTTGATGAAATCAACATTGTTTCAGAGCAAACAATAGATTTCGTGTTCGAACCTCACCACCTACCTAATAATTAAGTCTTCTTTAAGTAATAGTCCAAGTAATTGAAACCCTAGTTATTTCCCTAAAGATTTATACCATAGTTCCAAACATTATCAGCCATGCAGATCAGTATGTACTATGCATTCACATAACAATGTCAAAGCTATGGGTACATCATGAAATATTGGACATCCACACAAGTATTCAAAGAGTTTGTTAACTGCTACAAATGCAAATAAAATTCTATGCAATTTATCCATGCATCATAGGCTCACAGCTCACGAAAAGTTATCCCATATCACACATCCATATTCCACCCACCCACCCGACCCCACCCCCCACACAAAAAAAAAGGTAAAAATAAAACCCAAAAGAGTAGAAAAATAAATAAAAAAGAACGAAGGAACAGGAGACGAAAGGCATACTGCATGCCAAAAGGAAGAACATATCACGTGGAAACTTTGTTTAAGGTGCTACAATGAACGACAACATAAATTGTTTTTTGACATCGAACCATTAGGTGATCACATAAAATTTTCAATAGTGGTCCTGGTGCCAAATATAACAAAACAATACATATATTGATGTGAACAGGGAGGTAGTATATTTTCAAAAGAATTGAAAAGAAGCAGCTTAAAAAACAAAGTCTAAAAGAATAGAAAAGCAAAAATAAAAAATAAAAATAATAAAAATTGGAAAAGATATAGGTAAACAGATTAAATTACATACAATGGTCCACAAAGTATAGTGCAACTTTGATGAAAACAAATTCTACAGGTGTATTTTACCTTTGCCTCTAGAAGATGGCCAAACTTTACAAATGCATCTTTCAAACCTCTATCAGATGTTGACCATGAAAGGCCACCAATGAAACAGCGGTACTCCAATTCTTCTGACATATTTTCAACTGCTGTTTCCACACACGCAAAAAATAAGTAAAAAAATGAAGAAGTACAATGTAATCAACTCATATACCATGTACAAACGGAAGGGAGAAGGAAACACTTGTTCACATCAAAAGTACATACAACAAATGATTCATAAAAATAAATATATAAAAGAGACATGTTCATGAGTTACTTTAAGCAAGAACGGTCAAAATGAGTAAAGCCACCGAACAATCCATTCAATGATGAAGAAGATTAGAAAAGTGGTGCACACAAGGACAATACAGTCAGAACATCCACTACAAAAACAAATAAATCATCAATTTATTGAATGAACTGATGGGTCGGGTGAACATTCAAATAAAAAAGGAAAAAAGATATGTTCATGAGGTATTTTAATGTACATAACAAGTTGATCATCTTAAATCAGCTAATCATGTTCATCTAGCAAATAATTAATCTACGTGTTCCTGAAGACTTGTTTATAACATAGGTCAGTTGTAAAAAGATTGGTTCGAATTGCAATGTCATTTACATATATGGCCCAATACCTTCTTGTGGTTCCATTCCATTTTATTAGATCAAGTATGGCTAATATTAAATGCTTTGAAATAGATGAAAGTCACACAACAATTAAAACCCCACTACACACTCACCTTGATTCTCCTAAAACATAGAAGTCAAGTATGTGTTCCATCTAAGCTTCAGGCAATCCTAATGGCACTGATGACGGGTAGTAATATCACATGGTAACAAATACCAAGTCCAAGGAAATGCGTAAGATGGTAATCAATCTCTCAACCAGCATGTTATCTATATTCTCACACTTATTCCAACACTTACACCAAACAGTATGACGCAATTTTTTCACCGATAATTCATCAACCCACAAAATATTAGCAAATATCATAAAAATTTCCCTTTATGTCTAGAATTGCCAAATCATTTCAAACATGTACAAATAGCAAGTAGTTACTTTCCTGTTCTCCCAAGTGATATAAATCAGAATTTTTGCAAATCCATCAGTTTCTCTATGGAATTCTAACTCGTTTCAATAATTTCTCAATTGTCTTGCAGGTTATAAATTACTGTGATGCCAAAGAATTCCCTGAATCTCTTGTCACTGTGTTCAGATCAACAAACTAAATGATTCGTCACCCTCCTAAATTCAATTTTCCACCCATAAATCACAATACCAGCCCCTCATCCAACACACACACAGACAACGCTCCGTGTTATCCCAGAAGACTAGAGAATTCTGCACAGACAATTCATATCACTTTCATCAATTTTATGCGAAATATGTTAAACCCTTGATTCCTTGGCACAAATCGAGAAATTACGACTACCCAACAAACAAAACAACAATTAGAATCAAAATCAACGTATCATACACGATATTGAGATCTGAAACCTGTAATCGGTAAAGTAAACAGAATCAAAGACCATAAATACGCTAAACAACAAATCATATTCTTATGAGAAGCAAAGATCTAAACAGACCAAAAATATAAAAATAGCAACCAAAAAAAAAAAAAAAAAGAAACAGATGGAAAGTTACAATCTTTAGCATAGATATACAAATAAAAATTAACAGTGAAGAATTGATCCAAAAAAAGGGAAAGAATTGATAGGTACCAGCAGAGAAGAAGAAACAATCAGATCAGATGGGGAGACTTTGCGTTCTTTTGAAGAAAAGAACCCTAAAATCTATATATATATTCGATTCGATCTATAGATACAACTGTGGGTATTTGCGGAGGAAGACTTCCAGCGGGTTCACTTGTATAATACGCTCATTACCGCTGTGTGTTTATGTTTTGAGATATTATTTTAAAAATAGTTTTGCAAAGGGAGTTTAGATAATGAGATTTTTATTGATAAATCTCATTTAGAAATTTTTTAATTTAAAAAGTTTATCAAGAAATTTATTAACTTATTTAATCTCATGTATGTATAGTTTTTATTCTATAAAGTCTTTTTTCTTAATTTACACCTTTTTTTAGACTCTTATGCTCTTATACTTAATTTTGATACCCTTACAAATATTTTTTGAACGGTTAGTAATTTTATGATGTAAATATTCATATTTTAACATTCACATTGGTAAGAATGTAAAATTGGCCCGTGGCCTGTGGGCAGTCCGAAGCTCCCCCTGGGTCGGGGCGGGCCCGGCCCGTTGACAATGTGAATATTCACATTAACATGTTAACATTCACATTGATAGAAGTGTAAAATTGGCTCCCGGCCCGGCCCGGCCCGTTGACAATGTGAATATTCACATTAACATATTAACATTCACGTTGATAGGAGTGTAAAATTGACCCGCGGCCCGTAGGCGGCCCGAAACCCGCCCGCGGGCCCGGCCCGTTTACAATGTAAATATTCACATTAACATGTTAACATTAACATTGATAGGAGTGTAAAATTGCCCTGCGATCCAGAGCGGGTTCGACCTGTTGACAATGTGAATATTCACATTGATAGGAGTGTAAAATTGGCCCGTGGGCCACCCGAAGCCCTCCCGCGGCCCGAGGCAAGCTCGTTTGGGCCCGGGCCCGAGCCTAGCCCGAGAACTTGGGTTAGGACCTGGGCCATCACTTTGAAGTTCGGCCCGCATAAGGCCCATTTAAGGCTCGGCCCGAGGGCCGGTGTCTTTTTTGTGGAAAATAATAAAATTTTGGGAGAAAAAATTAAAAAGAATTAAAAAAAATGGCGAGGCTCACCCAAGCCCGACCCAAGCCCAAATCTAGGCCCAAGCCCCTTGGCTCGACCCACGGGGACACCCAAAGCCTGAATACCTTTGTGCCAGGGCTAGGGCCTAGGCCTAATTTTTTGGCTCATGGGCCGGTCCGGCCCGGCCCAAATTTTGGCAATCACCCACGAGGCTTTACATGGGTTGGCCCCGGCCCGGGCTGGGCCGAGTGTAGACACCCTATTTTTGACCGACCTTAAGACTCAGACGTCATCGATTGAGCGCTCGGTGATGGTGCATGTTGTGCTCGTTCTGAGATTACGGAGTCTCGGCTGAGAGGCTTACTCTCGGGCCTCGGGCCCCTTTTGTGCTTTGTCCCGGTTTACGAACCAGGTCTTGTTTTCTCTTCCTGAAGGGAGGGAGAGGTCTCGTAGACCATCTCTCAGTGACCGTAGGCTACTTTTCGTGGTCGTAGACCACTGTTCCCGTTTGGAGACCAGTTTCTGACTTTCGGAGCCGTTGGCCGTGCGCCTCAGTTCGGGACCGTTTAACTTTCTCCGTTTGCTCCGGTTTTTAGCACACACCTGGTTTCCTCTCTCTAGAGGGACATTGTGGCTCGGGAGACCACCTTCGTGGTCACACGCCACTTTCGATGCTTAACAGTCAGTTTTCGAGGCCTCCGGCCGCGCGTTTTGGCCCCTAAACCCTTGTTTTGCATCCGTCTTGGTTCATTTTTGGCATGGACCCTATTTTTATTCTTTGGAAGGTGGTACTAGGGTGGAAGACCACTTTTTCTTCTTGGAGACCACTTTTCCCCGCCGGCCAATTTTTCGTATCAGTTAGCTGGTCTCCCTGACTTTTGAGCCACAATTGCTGGTCTCCCACCACACCACTGGCTTGCATTGAATTGGGAGACCACCAATTGAGGCTGCCGACCACCATTCATCAACTTGACCCTTTTGAACTGGTCGGCCGACTAGGCTAGGTGGTTGGTCGACCACTTTTTCTTCTTGGAGACCACTTTTCCCCGCCGGCCAATTTTTCGTATCAGTTAGCTAGTCTCCCTGACTTTTGAGCCACAATTGCTGGTCTCCCACCACACCACTGGCTTGCATTGAATTGGGAGACCACCAATTGAGGCTGCCGACCACCATTCATCAACTTCACCCTTTTGAACTGGTCGGCCGACTAGGCTAGGTGGTTGGTCGACCACTTGAACTGGTCGGCCTACTTCTCCCTTTTCTGTCTCTGTGAGTGTGTGCCAGCTGTGCCAGCTAGAAGGCACAGACTGCATCCTCCATACACGTGTATGGAGGATTGGCAACCTTGTTTTGGCTTCTTAAAGAAGCTTGGCCCTTTGCTCTAAGCTTCTAAGAGAAACTTGACTTTTTTAGCTTTTTGAAGAAGCTTGATCCTTTGGCTCTAGCTTCCTCAAAAAGCTTGACCCCTTTTGCTCTAGCTTCCTCAAGAAGCTTGGACCTTTGCACAAGCTTCTTGAAGAAGCTTGGACCTTTGTTCCTCTATAAGAGAAACCCTCTCCCTTATTTGCAAAGGTTCATATTTTTTGGCTTAAGGCAAGATACATACATCCCTCTATATCTCTACATTTGAGCTTCAAAAGTCCCTTGTTCTTGGCCTATTGCATACCACCTCCTAGCCTAACCCCTCCACCATCACTCTAAACATCTTGGAGGCCATTTTCAGAGGTGGAAGGCTTGCTGTTTTGGTCCAGAAGCTGCTGGTCCCTTTGGCTACAAGGGTAACACTTTATTTCTCTCTTTTTGGCATTGTTTTGTTCCATCTCTTAGCCTAGTTTGCAAGCATATTTGGGCTTTGTCATAAACTAAAAAAAGTCTTATTTTGAGGTCCTTAACATGTTTGTTTGAGACCATTTTCTGTTGGGGGTCATCTACCCCCTTGCATGCTTCATTTCATCTTGCTTTAAGCCATGCATTAAGGCCTTTGTGTTGAGCTTTGTTGGCCCTTTTGACCACTGAAATCCAGCAGATTTTCAGTGGTTATTATGTATTTTTGAGAGCCAAAATCAGAGAGGGGTGACCCTCTCCCTCCTTGTCTTGTTCACTAGCATATTTGGCCTAACAAAGGAGCCTATACTTGCATGTTTCCAAGCCACATTTCAGGCCCTTTTTCAGTGAGTTTTAGGGCCTGCATAACCTCTGTCCAGAGGTGGTTTTGTCATTTTGGATGTCCATCTTACATGTGTAGAACAACCCTCTTTATGGCCTATCAAAGGAGCCTATCATTCTTGCATGCATGGACTATATTTCGATGGGTTTTTGGGCTTCATTTGACATGCCATGATTCTATTTTTGACTGGTTTGGTGGCCTCTCACGTGCTTTATATGGTTGTAGTGTAAATCATGGTTCACTAGCTTGTATTGCATGATGTTTTGGCCCTCTTTCCTAGCATATTTTGGCCATGATCCAAACTAATTTTATCCATATTTTGGGCTGCCTTAGCTCTGTTTGAAGTGTTTTGGGTCATGCATGCATTGTTGTATATGGCCATAGTTCAATTTAAGCTCACTAGCTTTGCATATCGGGTCCACTAACATGCGTTGTTTGGGCCCTTGACGTGTTTTGGCATCATCAAGCATGATATTTCAGAGCATATAAGGTTGCCATATTCTCATGTTCATCACTCCTTCAATATGTTTAAGAGTTGTGCTTGCATGCCTTATTTTGAGCCTTAGCATGAGCTTCATTTCTATGCATGTTGAGCCATCATCTTGGGTCATTTTCCCACTGTCTTGGACTTTCCTAGGGTCTGTTTGAGGCTGATTTTGCCATTTGTGTATTGCTTTGTATACCTCCAGTGTAACGCACTTCACTAGTTTCGGTATTCGGGCCATCTAGCATGCATTGTGTGACATATTTGCATGATTCGGGACCATCTTGCATATCATTTCAGAGCTGAAAAATGTGTGTTTGCATGCCATATTTCATCCATTGCCATGCTTTGGTGGAGTGGCATTTGATGCCTTAGGTTCGAGCCTTTGCATTGTGCATGCTCATGTGTGTCTTGTAGCTTTGATTTCATCATGTTTGGCCACTGATTTGGATGTGGCTGAGGCCCATCCATCTTTGTTTAAGTCCATCTTGCATTGCATATGCCATATTAGTCCATGTTGTTACATGATTGACCATTGCATTGCGTATGCCTTGATCATTTCATTATTAGTCTCCACATGTGCATTGCGTATGCCATAGTTTAGTCCATGTGCATTGAGTATGCCATGTGTAGTTTATAGCATTATGTATGCCATTTGCATGCTTGCATGTCATTCCTTGCATCTTTGTATTATTTAGTCGCATTACATTAGGATTGCATGCTAGAAGTTGCATTGAGCATGCCATTCTTGTTTCATCATGTTTGGGATAGGAGTTAGCCCAAACACGAGAAACGAGGAGTGTTTCATACTCCAAGTGATGAAACGTGCCTTGATTCCCGGTTGCCGACACTCTTGACTATCCATGATAGAGTTGTTGGCTTTAGATGTTTGTTTGTGCATTCATGTCACATTAAGTCGTGCAATCCGACTCCTCGGCCATCATGCATCGAGATGCGTGATTGGTGGTCCGAGGATCGAGGGTTACACTCACTAGAGCCTATGCTATGATGAGGAGAGTGCTCGAGCACACACTTGTTGAAAATACCTTGCCATGCTTCCCTATTGCTTTGTGTTGCAGAAAACCAGAATCCAAGGGCAGAAAGTGGTCGGCCGACCAGGTTTTCTGGCAGGCCGACCACCCTTTTTGGTCTCCACGACAAAGGGGTGGTCGGCAGTGGTCTCCCATGTCATTGGCTGGTCGGCAGCCCTCCCACAACTTCCCAGAGTGGAGTTTCAGCCTCTTGGAGCTTCGTGCAAGTTTTTGAAATAAATTGCACACAAAGGCGAGACGAGGCATCGCGATGGATTTCCCGACGAGGCGACTCGAGCATGCATGCATCCATTGTCATCCAAAACAAAGCCGAGGCAATCACATTCATTTAGTTTACATGCTTACTTAGCTAGTTTTTTAATTAGTTAATGTCGTGTAATAATTAGCTGTAGTTCATTATTCATCAGGTTTTGTATTATTCGGATCCTCCGAGGAGGG